AAGAGAAGAGAAGAGAAGAGAAGAGAAGAGAAGAGAAGAGAAGAGAAGAGAAGAGAAGTGTAGACTATTAGAGGAATGAAATTCTGCTCCAAGCTTCAGGTCGAGTAATTCTAAGAGATTTAAGGAGGTCTAAAATCATACTCATTTGGGTGGGTGTTTGGTTTCAAGGCTGGAAATCATCAAGAGAGTTCCTAAGATTCAGCTTTTATTAGGTAACGGAACCTAAGCTGGTTTTCCTGTCTCTATTTGAGGACCGGCCCAGAAGAATTCCTAGGTAATCTTATTTGAGCACTTGGAAGTAATGATGATAATAATAATTTATGATTATAAAGCACTTCCCATATTTTACAGTCTCATTATCATTGTTCCTATTTTGCTTTGATATTTCCAGAATCATCATTTCATTGATATGAGTACTCCTTCCATCAATGACAACAGAGATGATGACAGTTCTCATTGATGTAACATTTTTTAAAATGTAATTCTGTTTTTTTAATTAAGTGTTCATGGTGGCTCCTGGATATTGACAGTTGCATAAAAAGGAGTCTTGGTGCTATCTGAGGCTGAAATCTCCCGCCTGAGCAAGCTGACTGATGTTCACTTTGAGATATGGGCCTGCTGAAGTAATCTAGCCACAACTCCTCTTTCTAGAAACCTTGGAATTTTGCACTGCCCTTATTTCAACCCAGACACATACTCACAGTACACAGAGTCCCTTCTCCCTACACTAAACTCCCTTTGAGAGGGAGGTATCAAGCTCATGCTACGGCAGTATTCTCTCTTGTGTCCAGTAATGTACTGTCTCCAATTCTAAAATGGTTACCTTCCTGGAGATATTTAAATTTAATAAATTTCAATTTCTCCTAGGCAGCTTACAAAGCACACAAAGCCATCCTCAAGGGACAGACAGTAATATAGTTTGCTTGTGTTCCTCAGAAACACAGTGTTGTTTTTCCATGTCATTCTAAATTAAAACAGTTCTACAAGCAATTGGAAACACAAAACAATGCTCAATCCTTTCTTTGCTGAAGGCAGGAGGAATGCGTGTGCTCTGCTGCTTTGAGGTAGGAGACAGGAAAATGGGGGCTCTCAGTTCTTCTGCAGACCCAGCGTCTTCCAAGAAAAGGAAAGAATCACTTTGCATAGTTCATGGTAGAATGGAGGATGCACCCTGGCTCTGGAACTGGAAGACCTAGTTTTGTGCCTCACACTGATGCTAATTTCCTGTGTGACTTTGGCAGTCACTTAACCACCTTTAGCCTCAGTTTCCTCTTCTGTAAAATACAGGGAATGAACTCGATGGCCTCTGAAGTCCCTTTGAGCTTTAGAGTTATGATCTTATGATCCTAAGCGTTTGTTAAACTGAAATATCATTATCTGAACATTACCTGGTTCCTTTAAGATTGAATTTTGGGAGGCAATACAGTATAGTAGAAGGGTGTGGGGCTATGAATAAAGATCTCTGGGATAGGAGAGGAAGGAAACAAGCATTTATGAAGTGCCAGATACTTTGCTAAGCACTTAACAAATATTATCTCATTTGATCCTCACAACAACCCTGGGAGGTAGGTGCTATTATTATTTCCATTTTACAGGTAAGGAAACTGAGGCAGATAGAGATTAAGTGATGTGCCCAGGGTCGCACAGTTAGTAAGTGTCTGAGGCTAGATTTGAACGCAGGTCTTCCTGACTCCAAGTCTAGAGCTCTAACCATTATACCACCTTGATGCCTTTTGGTCTTGACTTTGTCACTTCTTCCTTTCTCTGGGCCTCAGTAGGAGGCAGAATGGTATAGTGGGAAAAACAAAACAAAACGGAAATAGCTCTGAAGTCAAGGCACCAGGTTCAAATCCCACCCCTGATACTTCTTGTGTAACCTAGAACAAATCCCTTAGTCTCCCTGGGCCTCCTCTATAACATAAGAGGATTGGACTAGATCATCATTTTAAAAGGTCCTTTCAACTCCCAAACTCTGAAATTCTTATTTAAAGGGAAGGCTAAATCGCATTATCTGCAAGGGCTTCAGAGGAAAGGCCAATAGAAATGGTGAGCTAGTGAAATCTTGAGGGAAACTGAATATACTATCACTATGGCTATAGTGTGTACCAAGCCTATAGTCTATGAGCCCGCTCACAGTTATCAACCATCTGTAAATGCAGAGTTTATCTCAGGCAAATGGTGCAGAACCACCCTCAAAATGATTCTGCCCTTCTCTGGGAGAAGAAGGATATGCAGAAGGACTCTGATTGCCAGCTTTGTGTTCTCAGGAACTGGGCAGCTAATCTCCATGTTTCCAGTTTGCTAATTCTATGACAGAGCACTTTGAGTCTTCCACTTTCCACCTAATAGCTTGCTTCTTTCAGCAAATTAAATATTTATTAAGCTTCTACTAGATGCAAGGTCTTGTGTTAGGCACTCTGATGACAGTAAAGCTAAAAAGACATATATATCTTCCTTGCACTCAGTTTATAGTTTAGGAAGGGGAGAGGTAGGAGAGGAGCAGGTACACAGATAAATATCATCCAAATCAGAATATGCTAAGTGTAGAATAGGAATGAATGAGGTGTTGTGAGAATTTTGGAGATGGAGAGACTACCTCCAGCTTAGGAAATCCTAGAAAGCTTACTGGAAAAGATGGAACCATTTTGTTTGTATTACAAGAGAAAGCTTTTATTTTGATTGGGAAAATTGGGAATGGGGTGTGTAGTAATACAAAAAAAAAAGAAAAGAAAAAAGCATCAATGAAATATTTGGGTTTTTTGCTTTTTAAGAAAAGAAAAGGAAATCCAGAAGGGGCACACAAAGAGAGCCATTTTGTTTCAAATGTGTTAAATATGTGCTCATATAAAGTACACAAACATTCTCTTAAAATTGTATGTATGCAATAGAAGACCACCATTTCCATATACAATCTTCTCTCCTTCTTTGTCTATTGAAATATTCATATGTTTTTTTTTTACATTTGTTGAGTTCATAATAAAAGAAAAGAAATAGTGGCACCCGAAGCAGGTGAAGACAGTAAAGTCTATTACAGGCAACAGGGAAAATATGAACAAAGGCTAAGAGGAAGGAAGAGGCAAGAAAAAGCTGAGGAATAGAAAGTTGTCTGATCTCTTTGGAATGTAGAACACATACAGTGAAGAGTAGGAGACAAGGCTGGAAAGGAGGTTATCTGGAGCCAAATGGTAGAAGGTCTAGAATGCTGCACTAAGATTCTAGATTGTATTAAAAAGACATTGAGAGGAGTGTCCATCCATGAAGGTGTAGAGGGAATCCTAGTGAAAGAGGTACAGAGGAAGAAGAGGCCAGGCATGTCCACCAAGCTCCAGCTAGAAGCAATCAATAGTAGGCTTGTGTGTTGAATCTTGGGAAACAGAAGGAATAAGGCTGGGCATTGATAAGCAGGGAACAAATTAGGATGCAACCTATCTGGGAAACACAGAAATCCAGTGGATCTCAGGTGGATCAGAGGGGATGAAACCACCAGGATGCTTTTGGAAAGCTGGGGTTTGCTGACTTCACATGTTGGCTCCCTCCCTTCCACTGAGATATGCCAATGAGTCTCAGTTGGAAATTGACAGGGAGCCATTGAAAGATTTTGATCAGGGGACTAATGAGAAATGCTGGAAAGATTACTCTGGTAGTATTTTCAGGATGGACTAAATAGATGGGGAGACACTTTAGAGAAAAACCAGAGAGACTTACTACACTAAGAGAGGCTTTTTTCATTAGGGGCTATTAGTACATCAAAGGGATTTTTAAAGAGATAATCTTAGAAAAAAAGGAACAAACATAAGCACAATTTATTACTTTACTACGTTCAATATACCCTATTTTTGATGTGCTGAGTTCATAGCATCTGCAACCATTAAATAACCAGACTCCTGAGCAGAATGCTATAGGGGCAACTGTTATAGCCAAATCATTTGCAGACCATTGATGGACATCAGCCAGTTGTAGCAATTTAGTCATAATAAGAATGTATTCTACTTAATATAACTAGTTTCCTGACTAAGAAGAAGGCTTCTCTGTAACTCTAATATTGCGTGCAGATATCCCTGGTGCCTGGTACACACACACACACACACACAGAGTGACCTTCTAGGAAAGGTACTCTAGGGGATGGGTACATCTGCTTCCCAGTTACTGCAAACACTTAGCCCCCTAGCCCTGGCAACATAATTGGCCCTTCAAAGATTGCAGATGCATTAACTGTACCCCTAAAGGCAGGTGAGACATTTTGGGTGCCAATAGCTAGTGTGACAGTGGGAGCAACAGCTGGAGACGGGGTGTAGGAGAGAAAATGCTGATAACCAGTAACCATTAGACAGATGGTGCCCTATGCTTAAATAGAGAAGAAGGTGGCTTCTCTGATAATGAAAATAAAGCTCTCTCTCTTTTTCCAGCAAAACAAGGAAGGACTAGAGAAGAACCATATCAGAAATCGGGGCTCCACTTGGGACAGAAATGACTAACCCCAAGGAGTTTGGCAATTTTTCGAGAAAACTGTCTCAGACTTGATCACTATAGCAGTCAGTGAACATGAATTAAGCAGCACTGGCATTCCAACAGTGTTGGGCAATGTAGATGTCAGAAGGAAATCAGATAAAAGATAAGGTGGTTGAGTTTTATGGGATCTATGGGTATGATCTGGTATAGTCTATACCAGCTATAGACTATATCAACTGGTATAGTTTATCATCAGCTAGTACGAATAGCTCCTTTGCCAGGACCTAACATCCAGGGATGTAATGGCAAATGCTTAACATCTGGGCTCTCTGGGAGAAAAACTGTGTCCACAACATACTTTTAAGTTTAGTCTACATAATTTATACTCTTAAGTCCAGACAATTGACAAAAATAGTGATTACTGATTTCCAAGGTGTAAATGCTCACTCTGAAGATTTGACAATGGCTCTCACAAGGGCTTAGAGTTGGCTTCACCACATCCCCGCCAGCATCTAAAATGGAAGTGACATTGAGGAAGGGGAGACAAGGAGCCCTATACAGATCCTAGAGGTATCCTTCAGCAAGAACTCTGTATTTTGAGTCAGGGAACCCGAGTTTAAATTCTAGTTTTGTGGTTTGCTGTCTGTGTAAAAGTAAAAGAAGACCCAGATAAATGATGTCATCAAAGAAATGTATGATTGAATAGAATAGGCTGCTTACATGGTGAGAGCAATGAATAATGGATGAACAGACTATCTGTTTCCTAGGTATCTTTGCAATGTCAAAATAAAATAACAAAGTCCCTGAGCAGACTGGATGGAGCCCATGGTGAACCTATGGAAGGAAGGAGTTGAGAGTCATCTAGGATAAGCAGACATGGATGGGTTGTGATTGGCATTGTTGATGGTCACAGCCACGTGGATTAGATCACAGATCCATTAGAATATTTGAAAAAGTATAGTTCTCTCCCACCCTTCTCCATGGCCATACAATTACTATTTTGATATTGATATCAGGAAAACGGCACTAAATGAATATTCTTGCTTAGCCCTTCCAAACCAGAGAGCTCCTTGGCTTACCTGGGAGCGGCTGGAATACTCCATGATTCTCCACATCCACCATCAGGTCAAAGTGTGAACAGTCACTCAGAGTGACCACCTCATTGACTTCCCCTGGCATGAGACCATTGATCCTCAGGGGAAGCTCCAGGGTTTGGCCCACCCGTGCTTCCACCTGGCAAGGTATAAACTCCATGCTGCTGGGCTCTATTACATACACCTGAATAGGAGACACAAAGGGCACAATTATGGCCTGGGTACGGGATTAACATAATACTACCCTTTCAAGTGCATGAAATCTGCCATGAGCTCCCTTCTTTGCAATTTTCTACACTGCCCTCTTTCCTTTCAGTATTCCTAAACCCTTGTGCCCATTGTCCTCACTGTGACCCTTAGGGTGACTCCAGGAACAGGTTTTCTCCCCACCACTACTCCATTAGTGATGAACATTTCTACCTCCTCTCCATAGAGATACCAAGATGGCAAGTGGATTTAAGATAATTCAGACATAAAATATGTAAGTCTTTCTCAGTATAGTTTGAAAGCATTTCCTCCATGAATATTCAAGCTAGAAGTCACCTTTTGCAAAGCAAGTGCTGAAGAAATTAGGGCCGCCATAAAGAAGTGTAGTACAGACTAGGATTCTAGTTCTAGTCTCTCACAAGCAAGGTATGTGACTTTGGCCAAGTCACTTAAACTTTCCTTGTGCTACACTTTCCTTGGCTGTAAAATGGACTTGGATTAGATGAGCTCCAAAGCTGGATGGTGGAGCAAATAAGAGTATGGGACTTGAAGTCAGGAAGAACTGAGTTCAAATCCAGGCTTAGACGTTTCCCATCCGTGTGACCCTGGGCAAACCACTTAACCTGTTTCCTAATATGTAAAATGGGGATAAATAATGGAACGTACCTTCTAGAGTCATTGTGATGGGACAATATTTGTAAAGTACTTTGTATACCTTAACACACCTTATGATTGCTAGTAAATATTATAATAATGATTATTATGACTCTGAGCTCTGAGATTCTATTACCACCTACCCCTACACTGTTGCTATAAGAAAAATGGACTGTGAAGAATAAAAGTTATGTAAACATGAGTTGTCATCATCATTACCACCATAATTAGTACTAGTAGCAGTGGTGGTGGTGGTGAAGCAATAGGAATTAGTCAGTCTAAAAGTATTTATTAAGTACCTACTATGTGCCTAGCATTGTGCTAAATGCTGGGGATACAAAGAAAGGAAAAAAGAGTCCCCACTCTTAAGTACCTCACAATCTAATAGGAGAGACAATATGAAAACAACTATGTACTAATAAAATCTAGACAGGATGAATTAGGGAAAATCACAGAGCGGAAGGCACTAGCATTAAGAGGGATGGGGGAAGTCAAGATGGTGGAGTAGATAAGTATTCAGCTGAGCTTTCCCAACATTTCTCCCCAAACAACTTTAAAATAATGTCTCAAATCAAATTCTGGAGTGGCAGAGCCAACAAAAGGTTAGAGGGAGACATTCTTCCAGCTCAAGACAACATAGGAAGTTGGAAAGAGAGAACTATGACAAAAGCAGAAGCAGCTTTGGGGACTCTCAAGCCAGAAACAGTAAGGGGAACTGGCAGCTGGTCAGAGAAAGATTACAGGGTACCCTGGGCTAGCACTGGACACAGGACCAGATGCTCTTTGGCAACTCCACTGCCTATACCCACTCTTGGATCATAGTTAAAGGGCAGAGAGGAGCACTTTTGCTTGAAAGGGAGCAGAAGCCCTGGGCGGCAGTATCACTCTGGGCTCCAAGGGATCAGGGACCTTGAGAAATGATATCTTTTCTGGTCCCAAGGGAGAAGGGGCCCTGAAGAGTAGTACTGATTACAATTCTAAGGGATCAGGGGCTCTTTCTGAGTAAGGACTAGAGTGCAGACCAGGAGAGCAGTAACCACCCCTCTCCCCAGAGCACACCACCTTGGAATTACCAAAAACTTCCAACCCCTCCTCAGAACTAGCTCTGAAAACAACAGAGCAAAAAAAGCCTGAAACTTGAGACAATGCCCCTTCCCCCTCCAAGGAGGGAACAGAGCCCAACTTTAACATAAAATTCCAAATCAAGAAATTGGGTGGGAAAAATAAGCAAACAACAACAATAAAAGAACTTGACCATAAAAACTTACTATGGTAACAGGGAAGATCAAGACACAAACTCAGAAGACAATGAAGTGAAAACAACTACAAACAAAACCTCAGAGAAAAAAATGTAAATTAGACATAAGCTCAACAAGAATTCCTAGAAAAGCTAAAAAAATTCTTTTCAAAATCAAATAAGAATGGTAGGGGGAAAAATAGGTAAAAAAAAAGAAAGCAAAGAAAGAAAAATATGAAAAGACAATTAGCAGCTTGGTAAAAGAGAAACAAAAAATACTGAAGAAAACAATCAATACCTTAATAACAGAATTGACCAAATGGAAGAAGTTCAAAAATTCACTGATGAAAATAACTCCTTAAAAAAGCAGAATTGGTCAAATGGAAAGAGGTACAAAAGCTCACAGGAGAAAATGATTTCTTGGGGCAGCTAGGTGGAGCAGTGAATAGAGCTCTGGTCTTGGAGTCAGGAGGACCTGAGCTCAAATCTGGTCTCAGACCAGACACTTGGTAGCTGTGTAACCCTGGGCAAGTCACTTAACCCCAATTACCTCACCAAAAAGCAAAAAAAAAATAGATTTCTTAAAAATTAGAATTGGGCAAGTAGAAGATAATGACTCCATGAGACATCAAGAAATAATCAAAGTCAAAAGAATGAAAAGGTAGTATCAAATGTAAAATATCTCATCAGAAAAACAAATTACCTAGAAAACAGGTCAAGGAGAAATAACTTAAAAATTATTAGATCACCTGAAAGCTATCATCAAAGAAAGACCCTAGACATCGTATTTCAAGAAATAATCAAGGAAAACTGCTCCAATATCCTAGAACCAGAGAGTAAAATGGAAATTTAATCACCAATCACCACCTGAAGGGGTTCCCAAAATGAAAACTCCCAGGTATATTATAATCAAATTCCAGACCTCCCAAGTAAAGAGAAAATGTTTCATGTAGCCAGAAAGAAAGCTTTCAAATACCATAGAGCCTTAGTCAGGATTGCACAAGATTTAATAGCTATAACGTTAAAGGAACAGAGGGCTTGGAATATGATATTCTAGAAGGCAAAAGAGCTGGAATTACAACCAAGAATAACATACAAGCAAAACTGATGATAATCTTTCAAGGAAAAAATATAGACATTTAGTGAAACAGAAGACTTTCAAGCATTCTTGATAAAAAGACCAGAGCTAAAGAGAAAATCTGACTTTCAAATAAAAGATTTAAGAAAAGTATAAAAAGGAAAATCATAAGAAACTCATTAAAGTTAAACTGTTTACATTCCTTTAAAAAAAAGAGGGATTGGGGAAAGGCTTCTTGAAGAAGGTGGGATTTTAGTTGAGACTTAAAGAAAGCTAGGGAAACTAAAAGGTGGCAATGAGGAGGAGGACCATTTCAGACATGAGGAATAGCCAATGAAAATGCTCAGTCAGGAGACGGAAGTGTATAGTGCAAGAAACAGCAAGAACACCAGTGTCACTGGATTGAAGAGTACATGAGGGGTGGTGGTGGTGTAAGGAGTAAGAAGACTAAAAAGATAGGAAGGGGCAAGGTTATAGGGGACTTTAAAAGCAAAGCAGAGAATTTTATGAACCTCTGTTATTACTTCCTTTTCATGTAATCTTTGGTCCAGTCAATTACATTTTTTGCTCCCCAAACCACATTCTCTTTCCTTTCTATCCCCCACATCTTTATGCCCTCCCTACTCAGCAACACTTTAGAATCTTCTTTCTTCAAAGCTCAGCTCAAACATCACCTCCAACATTAAACCTTCCCTGATCCCCTTCACTAACTAGTGTTTCCCTGCTAAATTTACCTGTATTTTTTGAATACTTATATGTATACATGTTGTCTTCCCATGTAGAATGTGAACATCTTGAAGACAGTTTTCATTGTCTTTTTATCTACAATGCATAGCAAAGAGACTGATATAGAGTAAGCATTTAATAAATGCTTAGTGACTGAGTCATTGATTGGAACTGGAATCAGAAGACCTGGGTTTAAATCATATCTCTCCTATTTACTCCCTATGTGAATTTGGACAAATCATTTCACTTGTTTGGGACTTAGTTTCTTCATCTGTAGAACAAGGGCCTGAAACCAGATAATCTCTATGGTCTCATCCAATGACTTAATCCTACTATCAAGAGCTTTGACACCAATTTCTAGTCACAGAGTGGTGGTAACTCTTCATGACATTACATCTGCTCTGAGATGTTCACTTCCAGTATCTATATTTTGAAAACCATCTACCCAGTGGATTAAGGAAACTGAAGAGCATTCTGTTTTTGACTTTCCAAAGCATTTGGTCATTAGGTCATTAGATAATAATAATAGATCACATTTATATAGCACTTTATTGTTTATAACTCAGTAAAGTATCTAGGGCAGATACTATGATTCTATTTTAAAGATGACATAATCGAATTGCAAGGAAGTTAGATGACTCAATAGGCTATCCCAGATCTCACTCGTGGCAGAGCCAGGCTTGAAGCCAGGTTTTCTGACCCTCACATGCAGCTTCTTTCCATTATATCACACTGTTTTTCATGGTTCTATGTTCAAAAATTTCTACTATCAGAACATGACTGCTTATATTTCTTCCCTATGCATCCACTGCCTTGTCTTGCATGTAGTAGGTGTTTAACAAATGTTTGAATTGAAAATTGAGGTCAGTAGATCAGGCTCCTTCCAAAACTCAGTCCAAACAGAGCAAATCCTGCTAGACATGCGAATTGATATTTAGCATCCCCCAAAATGCTCAGGTGTGCAAAGCTCAACCAATTTGACCTGCCATCCAAGAAAAATTCTTACAGGATTTGTTACATAGTCAAAAAATTATATTTTATGGAATGGATTCTTTAAATGGAAACAAGAATCCCGGGCTGTGAGAACCTTGAAGCCAGGGATTATGCCCATATTGATCTTTAGATCCTTCCCACAACATCAAACACAATACCTTGTACATAGGAGTTGACAGGATCCCAAATCATATAGATTGAGACCTCTCTGACCATCTATATAGCTTCCTCATTTTATAGATGAGGAAATTAAAGCCTGGAGATTAAGTGAATTGCCCAAGGTCATAAAGGTAATAAGCATCAGAAGCAAAATATGAATCCAGGTTCTCTGACTAAAAAGTCAATGAATTCTTTGTCCATTCACTTTCTTGAATGAATGAGCCAAACTATGGCCTCTTGCTGATACTTCTTCAGTCATGGTTTAAAACCAGCAAATCACCATTCTGCTACCTCTATGTAGCTGAAGATAGGGTTGTATCAGGATGTTTTTTCTCATCCCTCTGAAGTTGTAAAAGATCTGTCATATCTTAAAACATCACATGGATCTGGAGTAGATTATTTATCTACTGCAGCCTTTCTCTAACACTAACCCCCTTCTTCTACCCTTTCACTAAAACAAAGGTCCCCAAAATGCCTTTTGAACCATTGTCTTGGTATTCCCCAGTGCTTAGCAAAATGCCTGGCACAGAATAAGCACTTAGTAAATGCTTGTTGATTGATTGATTTAAAGCAGGAATGGCCCTTCTCAATCTGTTATCATTGACTTGGTGAACCCTCCCCTCCCCTCCCCACATGGTCTAGAGTCTTGGATCCCCGAGTTTCCACCACCTCACTCAAATACCTTCATGTCTCCATAATGTAAGGGATTCTGCACATCGTGTGCCTGGATCACGCTGACACCAATGTCACTGCTGGTCGTCATTACACCCTTGACTGTGACCGTGGCTACCATGTGGCTCGATGAGGACCAGGTGAAGTTTCCACTCCCACCATAGGCCTAGGAAGGAAGAGAACATTGATTCAACATGCTGACCTCTCCTTCCCTAAGGTACCTTATGGCTCACAATGTGGGGCAGGTGCATCAGAGGAAGCCTTGCCAAAATTTCCCCAGGGAAAATGTAGTTTGGAAACAGAGCACAAGCCCTACATATCAAGAGTTGCTACTGAAAAAAACTCTTTCTCCTGGGGCAGAAATTGGCAGACCCTCGGCTAGTCATCTGTTACTATTTCAATTGCGTGCTGGTCCTGTCTTTCCCAGAATATCTGACATAAGTGCACCACTCTGAGATGTGGCCTACCTAGACACCTGTGATTACTTATGCCCTAGCCTCTGTGATCAGGACTGCACATGAACCATCTCTCACCACTCCAAACTCAAGCTGCTGGATACAGACCCTTGGACAGTGGAGGGTCCTGGCATAGCTGGATAAGGATGCTATGGACATTGGCCTTCAACTGGTGAGAAGAGGTAGAAAGGGTCAATGAAAATGAGGTGGGTTTCTTTTCATTGTGACACTTTTATGTTTTACCCCCTAAACAGAAAAGTAAGTCCCTCTGCATCTGGGGTCTGAAGAATGCATGGATTAGTAGTAAATGGTAGTTATCCCAAGATTCTAGGAGTCTGAATCTTTTTTGGTAGGTATGTGTAGGGGAGGTCCCGATCTATGATTTCATCAATGATTAAAATCAGATAGGAGGCTGGTATAGGAATTCCCTCCATGGATGCAGATATACAATCTATCTGGAAATTCTAATCTTAGAAAATTGGCAGGGGCACTGACAAGTCACTTACCTTGTCTAGGATCACACAGTCAATATGTGTCCCAGGCAGAACTTGAACCCAGATCTTCCAGACTCAAAGGCCAGCCTATACCATGCTACCTACCTCTTAGCCCTTTTTAGGGAAGGAATTTGCTACATAGTGAGCTCTGTAAGGGCAGGAAACATGTTTCATTTATCCCTGCATCTCCCTCAAGGATGTGTATAGTACAGTGCCCTGCATAGGACACGCTCAATAAACGCTACAAATAAATGAATGAATTTTCAGATCTGGGACATGGTGGCCCCCATTCCCTGGATCTGAACCACAACATTTTGTTTTGTTTTTTGTAAAAGGCCAGACAAGAAGAATTCAGAAGTGAATGAGTCAGAAGAAGTCATAATCCTATGTTCCTTCCCTCCCAATGTCTGATTCCACTTTTTGGGGAATGCTCTGAAGTAAGGAAACCATAAGAAGCAGGCCCTGACATTGCAACACAGTAAAGATGGGTGCTTTTCCTAAGGTAGAAAACAGCCATCCAGTCTCTACCCTGAAAGCCAGACAGGCAAACAAACAGATGGGACAGAGGGAGCTGTTGGCTTAGGTTTCCTGCTCTGCCAAAACTTTATTTGACTTTGGGGAAGGGTGCTATTGTCCCAGTTCCTCCCTTTTCATCACAAAGATGAGCATCAACTGTTTGTGTTGGATGCAATGACCGTTCTCCCTTCTCTTGTCTGAGCCTTCAAGAGATGGAACCACTCTAGAACCAGCTGAGCAGATCAACCTCCACCTGTACTATCTGTACCCCACTTCCCCTTTGCCATTTATTTAATTAAAAACTGAATGATTGAGGGTGGGGGTTAGGAAGAGAACCACTAATTGTGATTTTAGGCAGGAAGGAAATTGACACAATGACCGGAGTCCCCAGAGGGACAAGGGCTGAAAGTGAGTACGAGTCATCAGATTCTCTAGCAGCCACACCTCCCTTTCACTCAGTTCAATTACTATTCTGTTCCATGTGGCAGTATAGGAGTTGGGGCAGTGAAGGACAAACAGAATGTCCAAGACCGCTGGGAAAGAAAACACTGAGTTCAAGAAACCTGAAAACCATGTGAGGGAACTTAATGCCGACCCATGTTTTATCTTCAGGATTCTAATTCAGCCGTCCTCCTAAAATGGAACTTCTTTAACCCTCCTGATAAAAAAAAAAAAAAAAACAACAACAAAGCTGGACTTTGTCTAAGAAAGAGATGAAGTTGTTTCTAAGAGTAAAGAGTTACAGGGGTCTATCTCACAGCCGCCATACTACCTTGCCATATCTGTCTTGCTTACTTAGTCTTAGAAAAAAACAAACCTTTCACATAATGGGCAGAGGAGGGTAAGAAAACCATTTGTCCAGAGGGTAATGGCTAGAAGAAAATCAACTGGAAAAAAACAGTTTAAGCCAGCACTAAATTTTTCCTCAGATAACTTCCTAAGTTCATTTCAAGTTCACTAAGGTAGGATGAAGACAAGATGGAATGACAATATAGCTCCCCTAGAAAAATACCCATGACAAGCCTTCCTTTAGCAATTTTAGTGACACTTCCTCACTGTGATTCAGCATTAATCATTTTCTGTGGTTGACATTTTTACCTTTATTGTGTATTGATAGGCTCCTGTTTTGGGCTGCCATGGAAAAGTCAGGATGCTTGGTGAAAGGGTGATGGGGACATAAATTTCAACCTCCTGTTGATTCCGGACAGGGACTGGTAATGTGTGGACACCTCCATCCTACAATGGAAAAGCAGTAATCACCATGGCAACTATTTCATCTGCACTATCTTTCAAATCAACAAGCTCCTTCTCACCTATCTCCCCACCCCCAAGGAATCAGAAAGAGAGAGAGAGAGAGAAAGAGCCCTTCAAACTAGCACATGCCCACATGAATATGAATGAAAAGTAAACAATGCAATAAACTGACCCCACCCCTTCTATTTTCCAAGGACAGGTTTTAAAGTGATACTGGGTCTATGGGGAAAAGGGGAGGTATTGGGGATAGTTCCTAAGGATAGAATGCTCTCCTTCCTCATCTCTGGTTCATAGGGTCCCTAGCCTCCTTCAAAACATATTTTGGGCACCACCTCCTACACATGACCTTTAGTGTTCTCTCCCAGTAGCTGAGTGTTCTCTCTTTCTCTCTCTCTCTCTCTCTCTCTCTCTCTCTCTTCCAAAATTACTTTGTGTATATGTTAAATTGATTTATCTGCGCATATGCTATAACCAACCCACATAATTAATTCTTTAAAGCTTATTATGAGCATACATGGAGAGTGTACCAACTTCCATGATCTCCTTGAAGGCAAGGGACCAGTCCATTTTTTCCTTTCACTTCCTTGCACTTAGGATAGTACCTTGCACATAGTAAGCAATTAATACATTTTTATGGAATCAAATGGAATCCTGTAAAATGCAGGTTGGGAGGAAAGGAGAAAAAAGGGTAAAAGTGGACAATCTATGCCAAATCCATGACAATTGTATAGTCTGGTAGAAACTGTTACAGACCAGATGATGAATTTACATGCAAGAATACATGAAAAGAAAGTTGAGAATTCCATCCTGGGAAAGGATTTTTCCCCCCATTATTCCTCATCATGAACATAGCTAGACACAGCAGTCCCATAACAGGCCAAAGGTTGAGCAACACATTGTTCCCAAAAGCAATGGCTTCCAGTCTGCCCCTAATCCTAGCAAGGCTTATTCTTTGGGGAAAGGAGGAAGAGCACACTAACATTCATGATTTCCCCCAAAGACCCATCATTTATTTCTTGTTGAGGTAATCATCAAAGTTGGAGATAAAGGCAAAATGAAAGGCTCATTGGGACAAGTTTACCTGATCCACCACAGAGGTGAGGGCTGCATCAATCACTGTCTGTCCCTTTTTTATTGCCTTGACTTGATGGTATGAACCATTCTGGGAGGACTTAAGCACCTCAAAATATTCCCGAGGCAATGCGGTATCAATTCTGATATTCTGGAAATCAAAATAGGCACGGTTAATAGCTCTCTGTGACTGACCTATAGAAGAATGGCTAAAACGCTTCCATTAAAAAAAAGAAAAAGAAACTTAATATCAAAGCCTCAGGAAATCTAATTTCAAAGAAGGAAAAATCAGCCTTGTTGATTCAATTGAATGAGAAGATGGAAAAGAGCAACTTCTCTGAACAAATCAAAGACATATTTCTTTCCCTATATGTCAATCCCAGAGAAAGGAAGTAAAACTATCAACCAGACTATACCACCTTGGACCTAGATAATTGGTGATTATGAAGAGATTCTAATTTAAAAAAATGTAGCAGGAATCATATAGGGAAATTCTCTAATGAACCGAGAAGTTCATTAGAACAGCACAAGTTACCAAAGTCAGAAAGTTAATTTAATTTGGCACTGACTACATAGAGATTGACAGCACAAGAATCTACACCTGAGACATCATTGTTTACTGAGAAAACAAAAGACAAACAAAACAAACAACAAAAACCAACCCAGCTTTTCAAGCACTCCAGAAGTGCAGTGACAATGACACTCAAGAAGTAAAGATAACATGGCAGCTTCATTCTTCTTCTTTCTTAACTATTACCTGTTACCCAAGGCCTTGAGCAGACCCCCCTCTCCATGTACAGATATACATTAACCTCCAACAAATGCTGGCGTTAACTTTAGCCAATGTGTACCTCTTTCAAATTTACAGGAATTAGAATTAGGGTACTGTGTATAAACTCAATTCTGTACGGACCTGAGCGGTGTCAGGGAACACTCTTAAGTCTTCCTTAAGAATCTGACAAGCTAATCAGTAGGTAGAGGATTCTGACATTAACCACTAAATTGGCCCCTTGGAAACCCTTCAAAACTCAAAAGTTGCAGAGGGGGTGCTCAGATGGTTGCTATATTCATAGCTGATATGACTCCAAATTAGATCCAGGGACATTGCAGGGAATCATTCCTTGGTATATACTTACATCCGATAAATACACCTTGTTACTTGATTTATCATACACCTCGATGGTGATTTCATAAAATCGGCCAGTTTCAAGGACCCATCTGTCCCCAGGATGAATTGTGAAGCCTATAAAACACAGAAGCAGAGCAACTTGACCATCTAATCTCTAGAACAGAAGGTTGCCTATCATTAGATGTTCTGACTCAAGAGCTGCCCCTTATATATGGAGAGAATGCTGCTGGTCCACCATTAGAATGTGACAAAACAATTGACTTCACCTCTTTACCTGACAGTAGAAAAAAAAAAAAGGAATGAGCCATGCTGAGTTCTCCCCACCCTTTTTACTGGTTCCCATTCATCATGTATTCAAAAGATGGCTAAGCAGAGCTAGAGGGATCAGCCTGCAGCCAGGACTATGGGGGTTAGTCTGTTGTCATGGAAAAGATTAAAACTAAGTGGCCAGTATGAGGTTCAAACTGATAACTTTGTCTGCATCGGCCCTGTGTTCTAGACAAATGAACTAACTAGCAGATACAATGGACTAGTTTAATGATCCATAATGAAACCAATTACACCTAAAATACCAAGAACATGCTTCAAAAGCCCAGGCTGAGCTACTGCAGGTAATCAGGAAAATAATCTGACAATTACATTTTCTAAAAGACATTAATTCTAGGCATGGCAAAAATTCCAAATCTTTGGCAGCAAGATCAAAATGGTATCTATCACCACACAAGGTGTCAGAGATTGACATCATTGAAGTATGACAGCACATTTAATGTGAAAGTGGTTTCAAATAGAAGGATGAAAATGGTACTTTTGTGAAATGCTACACGATACGTGTCCTAAACTTCTTTCAAATGCTATTACGGTTAGAGAGGCTCTGTTCCTACTGCTTCCTTGGTTTCTTCCTCCCTCCTTCTGTACTCTGCCCTCAGCTTTCCTTTCCAGACACTTCTGTTTCATGGGATAAATTGCCTCTGAATTCACATTGCCATCATGCTTATTCTCCCAAGGGGGAGAGGGAAATAGAATGAAACAAAGAGATGCTTTTGGGCACCTGAGTGTAAGTTTTCCAATGAGATCAAGATACTTTATGAAATCCATTAAAAGTCCTAGTGATCTTCGGACTTTTCTTTCTTTCTTTTTAATTTTTTCTCTTTCCAGTCTTTTCTTGACATGCCAAAAGCCTCCCTCTGTTTAATTCCACTTCCCTTCCCTCCCTTTCTACCACCAAGGATCAAACCAAGCAGGCTTATCTTCTGCTTTTTTCCCCACATGTCTACACATTGCGCTGGAGGAAATGCTGTTAAGAAGCAAATAGCCCAAAAGTAGCCAGCAGGGAGAGGCCCGCAGGTGAAGCAAAGGGTTTCAATTCAACTATTAACAAGCCCCCCAGGGTCCACATGGGTCAGAATAGGCTGAGTCACCTTATATGTGATTATGTGTGATTATTATCACCTTATATGTATAAACACACACACAGGTGCATATATCTATACATATACATATATACACACAATATATGAGGTATATATTGCCTACACACACAAAATATATTTTGTGTGCATATATGCATTGCAAACATACACCTACATACATATATACACATGTGTGTTTGTATGTGTGCATGTGGGTAAAACTGGACATTTTAAGAACTGTCCCAGTAAATTCTGATTTTTGGATTCACTGTACAGTAGTCAGGAAACTGGTACTTACCCAAGTATCCAGGTTCCACAACATAAATAGTGCTGTTAGGTAATCTGGAAGCACCCTGCATACGAATGCCTGAAGTCTTAATTAAGAAACAAAGCCATTGGAGGAAAATAAACTTATTGGAAGGGGACTAAGCTCATTTTTGTCTGATTGATTAACTGGTATTTGTATCAGAGGCCAGATCTCTAAAGAAATAAAAAATAATTTTAAAAATATATAATTGCCTCTGGCTGTTTTCCACATTGCCAATCTGGAATAGTTATTTCCCAGAACTCTAGACAACACAATGAATGCTTTTTACACCAACAGAATGATTTCTTTACCAAAAACAACCACAAACTTTCAGAGAATCTCATGTGTCTGTGTCGAACCTATCTTATCCCCTGATGATTTTCCCAATAATCCATGCCACGCACCACTGTGAAAGGGTTCTAAGCCCTTAAGAAGATTCTGGAAGGAGGGAATAATGCTGTTTCTTTATTTGCTACTTCTCATTTCTAGGATTTTAACTAGTGAGTCATCCAGAGAGGTGGGTAATTCGATGTTGCTATTTCGATTCTTTCTGATTTCAGATCACTGGGAGAAAGCAGGGATATTTTTAGCCTGGCCATGAGTTCAGAGGAGAAAGATATCTCCACATCAAAAAATATTTGGGGAACTGAAGTACAACCTGAGCTTGAATGCACACATATACATACACACACACACAGACACAGATACAAACACACACACACTCAGAGGATATTTTTGTGTCCCAGCACCAGGTTGGTCTGTCCCTGCTGCAATGCAGTGACTGTTGATGTCGCCTGAATCAACCTGGCGACAGGCCGTGTTGGGTCTCCCTCGGGGCCGAGTATGTTATTCTGGAGTTGCAGTTCATACTGATCAGAAGGCATCATTAATTCTGTACATGGGAGAGACAAAACAAGAATGAAAAAAAATGTTGAACAATAATGCAGCTCCTTGGCTAAGATGTATGAGTCCCATTAATGACAGTAGATAGACTTGAAAAATGGAAAATTAAGCAAAAATCAAACTGTCATGCCTTATGGAAAAAGCTGACAGTCTCTAAGAAACCTGCAGAAAAGCACAGCCATAAGCAACCCGGAACCTTCCTCCCCTTTAAATGAACTATAGCCTTTGAGGAAAATTTCCCAGCTGTTTAAGGAATGATGACACAAGTCATTTCTGTTAACTAGAGCAGGGAATTTTTAGGGTATCAGTTGAGTCTGTTGCTATGCCATCTTGAGAGAAAGAGTAGGGCAAGTTGAATGAGACACATCAACCATGGTTTCTAAAAAGCCTCTGGACAACAGGTTTGAGGGAACTGAAGTCTGTCATTTGCAGGGAATTTATCTAGAAGATACCATCTTGGTAACCCATCAATCTTGGGGGCTTTTCTGTTGTTGTTCTATCAGGTACATTTTGGAGCAACTAATAAATTAGCAGGGTGAGAAACAGTTGATTTTTTTTAAGGAAAATTGTGATTTTTGTTGTAGCATTTATGATTTAGCATTCACTGTTTCCATTATAAGCTAGGTGGAGGTCACAATTTCCACCCTCTTTTTTTATTTGGGAGGGAGGGGAAGTGGTCCATCAAACCTTTAGATTTCTATCTGATGTGATCTCCTTTCACTGAAGCCCCTTTATTCAAGTGACATGAGAGAGGGGAGTCATGATATAGGGAACCAGGGACATTACAGCTAGAAGCATTTTTCACAATTCCCAGGAACCATGGCCCAAATTATGAGCCCAAGGTGGCTCTGTCATTGATTTTATTCTCCTTTTTCGTTTGTTAGCAAAGTGGGTAAGCAAAGCTCTGTTCCTTGTAAATTTTTTACCATATACTCAGAATTCATGAGCTGCTAAGTGTTGAAAATCATAAAAAAATCTAATTGTCACCTTAAGCAGCATTATTTCAATATTCTAAAATCACCTTCAAAGAGTCAATTTCTCCCAATATCTAAAAATACTTCCAAAATATAGGCAACTTCAAAAACGGCACAAACTCATTCTGACCATGTGATAGAAGGTAGTCACCTTCTTGGGAGCAGGGACTGTTTACTTTTATCTCTATCCATATACCGAACACAAGGTTGGGTACATAGTAGGTGCTTAATAAACACTAGTTGATTGATATGTACAACACACACATCAATATAGAGGAGGAGAAATACTAAGGTAAATCAGAAAAGGTACCTGCCCTATGGGTTCACTTTACTACAGGGACTTGAGAGAGAAGAACCCTAATACAGGTGCCAGGGACATTACAGAGAAGGAGATTTTTCACAGTTCCCAGGAACCATACCCTAAATTATGGACCCAAGTCAGGTATACAAATAACTAATAAAACTTATGATATGATATGTTGTATAGTGGGAAGAACACTGAATTAGGATTCTGAAGACTTTGGTTTGCATTCTGGCTTTACTCTTTACTATCTGTATCATTGTGGGCAACTTAGTTCACCTCTCTGGGTCTGTTTCCTCTTCTGTAAAATGAACAAATTGGACTCAATGACACCTAAAGTCCATTCTAGTTCCGAATCTGTAATCTTATGATGTTCTATCACAGAATCACAGAAGCCAGACACAACACTTCTATCATATAGGATGGTGGAGACTGTGTACTTCACAAGTGCCCTCAATTGGATGAAAGGACAATTTTACGAAAGTTTGAATTTGCCACACTCAGACAATGATGAGACTCTTCACAAAAGGATCCTTTACTTGAGAAAAGAATTCAGCAAATATCCCTTTAAATAACATTCTCTTATAGTATACTTAAGCACTGGTTTTCATAAGTCATCATCTAAGTAATTATTAGAGAATTTTAGAGTTAGATGGATTGTTACAGACTATCTAGTCCAGCTTTTTCATTTTACAGATTAGGAAATGGATCCATAGGAAGAATTTATTTAGTTGCCTACTTTGTGCCAGCCAGGTACTCTTGATAGAGCCTGAAGGACGAACCACTAACAGGTAGAAATGACTAGACAGAGCTCATGCTGACCCTAACCAGGCATATCATTACAAGGAAAGCATCCTGGATCCAGATGTATTGGTGTCCCAGCAGCATGACCAGAAACACACACAGAGCCCTATAGGGGATACAAGCCCAATTCCCTGGTTGCAAGTCCCCAAAGGAGACCAACCAGGAGATAACACAAAATGTCATAGACCAAAGGAACACACTCGGAAGCCCAACTGCTGAGTCATTGATATCCTGCCATGCCCACAGTTTCAAGTTCCTACCCTACCTGGGCACTGAAAGGCTCCAGCTCAATAAATTTAACTACATCCTATCAGCATAAAAAGACCTTCAATATAGAATTTTTAAATGGAATATAATTTCTTGAGTATGAACTGGTATAGCAAGGATAAAAAAATCTAAACAGAACCCACTGTTGTATAAATAATCTTACATATTCAAAGTCTGAGCTTTAATTAGCAACCATAGGTATCTTTAAAATTTCATTGCAGACTTCTAACTACTTTATGGTCTTTAAAATTTTAATAACAAAGATTCCCAGAGAGCAGCAAACGAGGCAGGGTAATGGACAAAGACTAACAGGCAATTTCCACCATCTGCATGTGGATGAACACACATAGACCATCCCAACAGGACCCCACAGTATAGTGGGACCAAATACCAACTTTACTGGAAGAGAACAGCTTCTCCTTCTATTCGAAAAAGCAGACTAATTTAAAACTAGCACACAGCTTTAACTCTATTCAACTTCCTTCAAGCAAACTCATTTTCATAAATGTAAAGTCTGTGCCAAAGACAAAATTTCATAAATATTTTAACCGCTCTTACCACTTATGTATGTTGAAACACCAAATCTTTGACATTTTTTGAAGCAGGGTAATCTAGATATAAGGGCTTTCCCCAAGGTAGCATCCTTGAACCTCACCTGCTCCCCCATTACTGCAAAGCAATCCTATTCCAAATCTGTTGCTAACTCCTTATCATCCAATAGTATGATCTTCCAAGTCTTCTTTGCAGTCCCCAAACTTCCAACTCTACCCCATCCACCTCACTCCCAAAGGATGACCTTAACTTCTAATTCAATTGACGTCTCTACTCCATATGTGAAAGCTTCTCGAGATCTTCACCTATTGCCTCCTCCTTGCCCTTCGGCTCAGAGGGTGAGATGATGCTTCTTGCCAAGGCTTACTCTTTTATGTGTACCACTGATCTCTTCCCATCTGTCCACCCCTGCCCAACTCTAATGAAATGCCTCTCTTTATGGTGAACAATAATCTATTAATTTCCAAATCCAATTGCTTATTTTCCTAGTCTTTGTCCTCCTTGACCTCTCTGGAAGATCTGATACTGTTGACCACTAATTAATTCACTGATACTCTCTCTGCCATTGACTTCCTTAGGAGCCTTGTTAGATTGATCATCTCCTCTCTCCTCCTCCCCAACTCCTTACCCCTACCTATCCTGTTTCATCTCCAATTTTTCTTCTATGTTGATTCCTTCATCTCAATCCTCATCATCTTTGGCCTCTCTGCAACCTTTGACGCAGTTGATCACCATCTCCTCCTACATACTCTTTCTTCTCTAGGTTTTTGTGATTCTGTTTTCTTCTAGTTCTCCTATATACCCTCTTCTCTCTAAGTTTTCATGACACTGTACTCTCCTGATTCCTGTACTACCTGTCTGACTGGTCCTTCTTAATCTCTTTTGCTAGATATTCATCAAAGATCACATTCACTAACTGTGGACATCCCCTAAGGCTCTGTCCTGGTCCCTCTCTCTTTTCCCTCCATATTATTTCACTTGATGATCATAGGTTCTTATAGGTTCAACTACCACTTCTATGCAAGTGATATCCATATTCATCTATCCAGCCCTCACCTTTCTCTTGAGTTCTAGTCCCACATCACCAACTACCTCTTGGACATTTCAAATTAGATGTCTCATAAGTATCTCAAACTCAACCTGTCCAAAAGAGAACTCATTTTCTTTCTCTCCCCCACCTAAATCTTCCCCATTTTTTCATGGGGGTAGGAATGGGAAGGAGAGAAAATTTACTTTTGTTCATTGAAATTTTAAAAATTTTAATTTTTAAAAAAGATCACTAAAAAAAACAGTAACTTGTGATTTCCTATACCATCCTGAGCACCCTTTTACCACTTGTCCTTGCCCATAAGAATTGGAAAAACTTACAGAGAAGACAAAGTGAAGTAAAACTCACCTGTAATTTTTCCTTGTCTGATTTTCTGGACCTTGTAGTGAATAGAGGTTCCCACCAGCAGATAAATGTCATAAGCTGGGTTCAGAAGGATGTTCTCCAAAATTAGCAGCCTGACTTCTGCAGGATGGACATTCTTCAAATGAAGAAAGGAAAAGGGTCAGAAGAAGAGATTTTATATGTGTAAGGCATATTTAAAGGGTTACTATGGGGTGAAGAAGTTAAAGAAAAACAAAAAGCAGGCCAATACACAATGACTGTAATTCTTCCTGTAAAAACCCCAAATCTCAAACAGCTGATACAGAGCCCCCAAAGGAATTGTGCCAAAGTCTATTGCAATAGATGTCACTACAACAATTTCCACATAACAAATAGACTTCGAATCCCTATTGTATACAACAAAATATTTTAGACAGTCCTTTTGAGTGGATCAGAAAGAGGATTTGACTATATTTCTTGAGTAGAAACTCTACTGTTTCTAAGTCATTCTATGGGGGTGTTGGTATCCCTTCATTCAAAAGGTAGATTACAAATAACAAGAGAGAAACAAAGCCAGAGAGAGAAAGATAGACTTCAATTTCCTATTTTACACAATTAAAGCAAAGAGACAGAAGGCCAAGGAAGAAAGAGAGAAGGAAATAAGGAGAGGGAAAGGAAAGAAATGGATGGGAAAAGAGATACAGTGACCAAGAGAAGGAGAAGGCAGAACCACAGAGAGAATGAAGGATAAACACATATATAGGTGGAATAAATCAGACATTTGTGGAGTAATGTCATCTTGATTCATTGGGAGCAGAACTTCCCACTACTTGCTCCTTTAGATAGTTGAAATTAAGGTGAGAGGATGATTTGACCCCTGGAACAGAGGTTATCTGCTCCTGCCCTTGCAAGCTGAAATCCAGCCAAGGGACAAATGGGAGAATTTCTTGCAACTTCTTGCAAATGGACTGGCATCTTCCAACTAGTATTCATTCCATCATCCAATTCCCAGCACCCAAACCATAAATGCGTAAGTACATCTTTTTTCACGAAAGCCTTACCAACACACATTCTCTTGGCCGATTCCACCCATCACAAGGGAATGGCCCGCTGTAAAGATAGGAGATCTGCAAGTAATGCTTAGTTCAGTGTATGTAGGACACTATTTTAATATGTGATCTTTAAACAGAGACTGGAACTCAGCATCAGAACTAAATGCTCAGAAATTAAGAAGACAAAAACCAAGTCAAATAGATAAGCATTTATTAAGTGCTTACTATGTGCCAGACACTGTATTAAACAAAAGGGTAAATAACCTTGGGTGATGAGAGGCTGCATGGTGTAGTGGGGAGAGTGTTGGACTTGAAGACAGGGAGTTCGGTTGTTTCAGTCACATAGGACTCTGTAGGACCCCATTTGGGGTTTTCTCAGCAAAGACACTGGAGTGGTTTGCCATTTCTTTTTCCAGCTCATTTTACAGATGAGGAAACTGAGGTAAACAGAGTTAAGGGACTTGCCTAGGATTACACAGCTACTAAGTGTCTGAGGACAGAATTGAGCTCAGGAAGATGAGTCTTTCTGACTCCAGGCCTGGAACTCTATCCATTGCAACACCTAACTGCTTGGAGTCAGGGACACCTGTGTTCAAATTCTGCCTTAGACACTTACTAGCTCTGGGTTAACTCACCTATCCTTTCTCAGCCTTAGTTCCTTCATTTGTAAAATTAAGGGATTATACTCAATGACCTCTAAGGTCACTACCACCTCTAAATTTATGCATGATCCTATGAAAAAGGTCAAGACTAGTGAGAAGTATTCAGAGTATTACAACAGAGAGTATTATAACAGTTCTTATAGTACAGTAAAATTCCATTACATTCATATACTACAAGTTCAATCAATCAATAAGTCAACTGTTAAACATTTATTGAGCACCTACTATATGCCAGGCACTGTGCTAAATGCTAGGGATACGAAAACAGGCAAAAGACAATCCCTGCCCTCAAGGAGCTCACAATCTAATGGCTGTTTAGACATTCCCCAACGAATGGGCATTTGCTTTATTTTAAGTCCTTTGCTATTTCAGAAAGTTCTAGCATAAATATCTTGATGTATGTGGGACCTAGCTGTGATATCCTTGGAAGACTATATCTAGTGATAAATCACTAGATCAAATAACATGGACATTTTAGTCACTTTCTTAGCATGATTGCAAATTGTGTTCCAGAATGGTAGGACCAAGATCTTCTTTGTAAATAGTTGCTTGCATGTTGTCTTCCTCCTTCAACTACAAGCTCCGTGAGGGCAAGGACTCTTTTCTTTGTATCTCTAGCGCTTAGCACAGTGCTTGGCATATAGCAGGCACTTAATAAATGATTGTTTACTTGATTAGAGAAAACGAAGCACTTATTTAGAGCCCAGACCTGGCCTGTACCAGTACCTGGTATTTTAACTGCAGTATGCTCTTCTTTCTCTCATCTTTCTGGATATACACTGAGGCTGTGCAAATGTTGGGCGCATAAATTAATTTTCAATTTTTACTGAATGGAAAGTGGCGAAGATTCAAGACATTTTTGTGTTTTGTGACAACTAGCAAATCATGAAACTTCTCTGTGCCTCTGCTTCCTTATCTGTTAAATGGGGATAGTAATAGTTAAAACAACCTAAACTCAGAGTATAGAGAGTATACCGTGTGAGCAATCATTATTATTATAACTACACCAATCTAAGTTAATGCATTTATTTCCCACCAAAACTTTCAATGCTTCTAATATCCACTTAACTGGTACATAAAGTGAATCAGATGAGCCAAATGTAAATGGGTATCACTTTCTTGGTTGGTTAAGTTACAAAATTAAGGAACATAAATGAAATGCAAAAATCTTCCTGTTAAAAAAAATATGCCCCAAGAATCTGGAAAGTAGATTGTGCTCACCAGAAAGAGCAATTTCATTACTGTGGTTAAAATGGAAATACAGTTAACTTTAGATTACAAAGAAATAAAAAGTATAAATTCACATAAGAGCTGGGAAGGGAGCCAGCATAGCAGTTTAGCATACTTGTCTGCTGGCCCTTTGACCACAAACACCTTTAGAGATGAGAAGGTAATGAGATGGAATGTGTTTCTGAGGGAGGTCAAGAACAACTTGGGGCTGGAGGGGGTGGTCAGGAATGTGGTCAGCCCTCCATTCAATAGCCCTCTAAAGTCAATTCAGAAATGAGTTGATTTTTCATCAGAAAAATGTGGGCTAAGAACCAAATAGAAGAGAAAGAGAGGTCTCCACAAGTTGGGTATTGGGTGCTGGAGGGTAGGGAAGCATGTGGAAGGAGATCCTGTGACATTGGTAGAAACCCTAAGTCACTTGAGTGTGTCTCAGTGGTCACAGAGACAATTCTGAGGCAAAAACCCGACCTCCTGACAAGCTGCTAACACAGCTCCTCTCAGCTATCCCCATCAAAACAAGAATGAATGAAAGGCACTTTGTGGTGAGGGGAGAGCTCAGACACATAATTCTGTTTCCTCCATCAACTTCTGTGTCACAGCTTCAGAACTTGACCTTTTGAGAAAAAAAATTTCATTAAATCTATTTGAAAAAAGGTCTGACATCTAAGATATAGATGAAATAGATACTAATAGAAAAGACCAAGAGTTAGTCCTTAATTGATATGTGGTCAAAGGATATGAACAAATAAATAGTTTTCAGAAGAAGAACTGAAAGTGGTTAACAACCATAAGAAAAAGAAATATTCTGAATTACAAATGACAAAGGAAATGCCAATTAAATCAACCCTGAGGTTTCATTTTATACCCAGACAATTGGCAAAGATAATAAAAGACTGAAATAGTCTATGCTGTAGGGGCCATGGAAGACAGGCACACTAATACATAGGTAGTAGAGCTGTGACATGGTCCAATCATTCTATAACTAGGCTAGAAAAATGATTAAACTATTCATACCCCTTAAGTCAGTGATCCCACAATTGTGCACAGAGTCCAGGAAGCCCCCAAAAGAGAAGTTCCCATATGTACCAAAATATCCACAGTAGCATATTTGTGATACTATAAAACAGGAAACAAAGTGGGTGCCCATCAAGTGGCTGAACCATTTGTAGGGCATGAATGTAATGTTATATTATGGCACCATAAGAAATAACATAAAGGAAACTGAGAAATTTGGGAAGACTTGTATGAACCAATAGAGAGTATAGTAAGCAAAACAAAAAAAAGTAGAGTGATCAAAACAATGAAATGAAAAAAAAAAAACCAAAACTCAAATGTACTCCAATGAATACAACAATGTCCTACCTTATGAAAAAACATAACACTACCTTGCCTACCTTTGGTGGAGAGTCAGTAGACTAGAAATGCACAGTGAAACTTAAGCTATCAGACAATCAATTTGTCAGTTTGCTTTGTTTAAATGTATCTTCTCTTGTTTTTAACAAAGGAGATTTCATTTTGTGTCAGGTGAGGGTATGTGGCTATTGGGAAATGACACTGATGTTTAAAAAAAAGGCATCAATTTTTTTAACCATCCTCTGAAGTTCCTTTGTTATGAAATTTGGGGCTGAAAACTTTGTTCTTATATGTATCGTTTGAGGGATTTTTGCTTTGAAATATATTCTCAGGTACCTATAAAACATTCACTTAAGCATATTTTCTCTTTACCTTGGGGATTATTGGGAATTTGCAATTCACCATGCAATACTACCTTATACACCACTTCTTGAATCCGTGCTTTCAACTTGGAACTCCCTGTCTTCATTCCAGACACCAAAATTGTGTCTCCTTGCTTGGCCACTTTCTCCATCTCTGATATGTAGGAAGGAGGTATGTAAGTAGACTCTAAAAATTTGAGGATCCTGGAACAGAAATGACATATTTTATAGACTCAGAAGAGTAGGACACAGGACAATGTAATTCAATGTTCAGTCAGCATTCTTTAGATTATATGAAGACATTTAAATTCCACAATGTGTCTAAATTTGTACATTTGGTACATCACCTGTAGCAAAAGATTCACAATTAAATTGGAGATTTCACCCATACAACGAGAACATTCAGCTGAACACATTTTCATTCTCACCAAGGTCACTGTCTTTTGATATCATTTGTTTTCTTACTGGGTTTTACTGAAACAACAGAATGTTTTCTAAAAAATTATGTTTTATTTTCTTCAATCAGCCAAAAAATCTGCGTTTCAAAATATTCTTTTCATGTTTGTCATGTCTTGAAGTTGGTTATCCTCCAGCTAAAGGACTTAGGTGTGTTTGAACTTGGGAAGCCCACTTAGGTGGGAAAAGAGCCCAAGAGATATGCGAAGAGTGCTACCACACCAGAAAGGTCCAGGTAAAGAGAGGGAATTGAAAGGCAAATTTCTCTTTGAACACTGGGAAGAAGCATAGCTTGGAGACAGCATCCTCCAGAGACACATGTGCCAGGTGTAGAGCATCACAGATGCTAAGGAAATGTCTGGGAAATCAAAAGCCATGGCTATAGCAGTCACTCCTTGAGTGCCAGAGTGTTGTGAGGGTTGCATACTAGGCTTGTAAAGGGTAAACAAAGAGACAAGATAAGATGTTTCTTTTAATGAAATAAGGCTTACTCAAATACGGCCAACAATGTCACCTAACTCAAGAAAACTTCCACTTTTGTCACCGACTAACAGACTTCAATGGTTGAAAATTAAATTTGATCATCCAAATAAATGCCTGGGAAATCAGTCATCTAACACAAGGATTACCAACAGCACACTAAGGAACCCACGAATCATCCATTTTACTTCCTTTGAATGGACAACGAAAACTCACCAGTAGTTAGTAACCTTTGACAGAGTTTCTCTTGATAGACTTAATTAAATTATAAATTAACAAAAATAAAATAAAT